ACATGGGACAAGACGCACATGAAGGTCCTGACACTGGAGGACCACTCATGGTAGCGGCCAAAATTCATATAGGAACTAAAACAGAGAATTACTCTATAAATAATACAGCCGCTCTGAGGCACTAGGTAGCGGGATCTTACGCAGGCGCAATGATCAATCCAAGTCCAGACAGAGAAACAAGCCTCCAGTTTGGGTGCACGTTTTATTTCCATTAACAAAGGTACAACAAACTGAGGTTTCCTCTATCTCGTCTTCCTTAAGCCGGTTCCTATGCTTTCCTTTGGTGTGCTTGAAACACCCTGGAATCTTGGTAATATATAGACTATAAAAGATAGCGATGTTTTACTCAAATTCTGTATAAGCGCAAGTCCTTTGTAATTGTAGAAATGATGAACAACAAACTTGTGTGTACCCACCACCCACTTGGTCTCAATCACATGCCGTGCTCATACCAATTACCACCAGTTGGCTCTAATATCTCATCCATCGCAGTGGCTCACAACTAACTAGCCTCTGTCTCACTTCTCAAGCGATATCAACACCAAGCTATACGTAACAATTTACTGTCATTGAGGCCTTCATGGATCGACTTAACTTATAAGCCAAAAGTACAATACTGAACAAATAATATGCGTGCCTCAATGCAGATTTTAATAAAACACTTTTTAAACTACGCAAGATAGCGGACCGAGCAGATAGTTTTTAGAAGTTATGTTTGGCTCGTGAACAAGTAAGAGTATATGCAGGAGAAATCCTGAAGTATCATTTATATTAAATACCTTTAAAGACCTTTTTTAAGACCCTTTTTTCCGATACATTTTCATAAGACTCATCTTTACGGGTCCAAACTATTGAAGGTTCTAAAAAAACCGTGTATATCATTGGCGGACTAAACACTATTTACCGGCGCTATAGGCTGCATCAAAGAAAAAAATCATCTTTTAGAACTAGCTGATCTGTTAAGGGATAAAAAAAATGCTTCTCAAATTTTCATGTTTATATGTATATAAATAACGTATGCAGAAAATATATTTTTTACAATATTGATAGGTGATATTTAGAGGTGCAATACTAGGCCATCATTCTTTTATGGCCAAATAGGGGTAGTAACCAGCTAATAGTAGTATTAATATTATGCCATGTGTTTTATCCTTTTGTTTATTTATTTATATTCTACTTTATAATATATTACTGTTATCATTCCAACATAACAATATAGTGCCATAATGCCTCCAACTTCTAGCTTACAACTTCCATTTTCAAACTATTCAAGCATTAATGTTTATATTTAGGGTAAAGCCCATGGCTATAACCTGAGACAATCGAAGCGACAAGATGCTTCAATGCTAATTGGAACAAATAAAAAATATTTCTGTGTACTGCTCTCAAAAAAAGGAACTCCAGCCTCATTGCATTCTGTGAGACATTTTGACTATAGTAGCTTTAAATAAATATTAACTCTTATTCCTTTGTGGTTGGCGTAGATACCTTTATTAATTATAGGCATTCCATTGCCCATATGAAGTTGTTACTTTGGTATATTTTAATGTAGTTAAAAATAAAAAAAAATGTCATATTCAGTTGTTATTGCCTAATTTTGTAGACTATTTATAAATTACATGCAGGCGTATTAGCTTTCACTGCTTTTTGCTAGTCATTCCTGTCATAACATTAGTTATTTGTCTTTAGGTTTATTACGCCTCGTGTTTGGCCTATAGCTTTTAGTTACTTTAAATTATAAAGTGAGCCATTGTAGCTTAGCAGCATCTGCTATATTTTTGCGAAGTTATCCCAACTTCTGAATGGATGCTTTTAGGCTATTTTTTTTAAAATTTTATTATTACTAAAGGGTATAATTTTGTAACCACTATATAAATCTTTCCTCTATTCTCATCTATACAGAGCACTCACACAAGTACCACACACACACAGAACACACACATACCATTATATACACTGTATATAAACACACAGCCACACACACATACACACACACAGACACATACATACATACGCTCACAATTCAAGCGACATACACACACTCAACACTCAGACACACACACTCTCTCTCTCCACTCACTCACTCACTTCTCACAGTACACACTGATGACACACACACTACACACACTCTATGTAACACACACTGTCGAGTGGAACACACAGCTGACACACAAAATCAGTTGCTCGCCTCTCATACATCACGCAGTCACACTGCTTCTTGTGTGAACGAACCGTGTACGCAAGATGCGCTGATATACACGAGACTCACATAGCATAGATACAGGGCTCGACACTGAACAGACACACGCTGTCTCAGGAGAGTCCAGAGATCTCGCCGCGCTGCGATACACGAGAATACCTAACGCTCGTCTCATCAACAGTATTTACATCCCTAACATAATGAACACACCGAATACCCTGTCTGAAAGGACTCGCCTTGTCACGACCGCTCTATGTCGTCAATACATGCGTCCATGACAGACTTGGTACACACTTACATAGGGCACGAGTGATGCAGAGACACTCTACAGAGAGTGTCTGTCGTAAGTTCCCTACATTTATCTCTGTCTCGTCAACGATCTCTCTCTCTCATGCACACAAACACACACACACACACCACACAAGATGAGACACACACACGACAGTCGACAGTTACGATCATCCACATTCACACCTTAATGCACACACGGACGTTATCATACCCACAGAAAACCTCACACATGACACAGTCTATATCTCAAGCAAAGACACACACACAAATACAGCCTTACAGACCACACTGGACACACCATGGATCGCCAAGTACGCTCCACTAGACACACCAATATTCAACAGTCCCCACTCTCAATCATCAGAGGACCTACACTCTCTCCGTCCAATCACGCACTTCAGTCAGTAGAATCACTCACTCACAGCTCTATCTCAGCACACAAACGACCCAGGCTACACGCATACACACAACATACACCTGGCGCTCAGACACATACTTAACGGCAGGGAAAAACAGACACATCCGAGAGACACACACACAGTAGTTAATGTCTCTGCGCATATCGACACGCGTGTACACACAATATACCTTATACATCTCGAGTGTGTCAGCGAACAGACAGAAAGACAGATATGATTACAAGTAGCTAGGACACGACTGTAGACACACGACAGTCTCATATACGAGACGAACAAAGGAAGTACAGCAAAGACGCAACAAGTATATACATGACTATCAAAGTCGAAGACACTACGCAGACGAAGAAGCACGTACACGTGGGAGAGCGGAAGGGAAGTCTAGTATAGTGAAGGGACAGTAGACAAACAACCGACACACACAATAATGCAAATTGACACTAATACGCACACACAGACATACTAGTCACACACACTACACAGAATCACACATGCACAACACTCTCTGTCTCTTCACACACACAGTCAACACACACACACACACACCACACATACATCCCACCTCACATACGTCTACCACATACACAGTCCACACATCCACAACACACTGAACACACCATTCCTTATACACCATTGATCCACTCATTGTACCTACACACTCGCACTCTAGATATACTACAAAATACATCAACATCACACTTTTAAATTTTGACACAAGCCATTGAGCACACACTCACCACATTCTACTTAAATATTAAGCCTCAAGCACACTACTACGGATCGTCGCAGCGCAAGAGCTATCTATCTCTAGAGCAGAAATTGTACTGGTCGCTGTCCATCATACGCTGCGCGTCACGATCAAGCGGGCATCACATACACGCACGCAGACCACACGCACACGCACGTGCCGCCCTGAGAATATGACCGTGCTGTACTGAATAGAAACAGAAACGGAACTGCACACGACCAGGAGCAAGATTCGCAAATACATACATACCATTCAAAGGTGAGAGACAAACACCTCCAATCGCAGATCTCGAAGCAGGCTCAGACACATAAGAGTATAGACACACCTAGAGGCGCGAGATCTAGAAGATGCATAGCGAGGCACTCTCTGTGACAGATGGATCGCTCAACTACACACACACCACTCAAGGTACACGCGACTGGAGACGCATGCAGACCACAATACACAGACAACTAGACTGTGAAATGCGTGGTGCTCACACATCGGAGCAAGCAACACTACAGACATAGCTACACATACTAACACACACACATCGTGACGAGAACTCCAGCAGCTTGCAGACTTCTAAAGAATGATGTCTCCAAGTCAGAGAGAGTCTACAGCGCCATCCATGTTCAGAAACACACCTATACGCGACACAGGTTGACACTCGACCACACACGCCATATGCACACTCTCGCTCTCTCCACAGACACACCTCAATCTCACTCTGCGCTCATGTCAGTCTCGGCTCTCAGCAGACGCAGAGCACTCCGAATCACACACAATCACACTCGCCACTCACGCCGCAACAGCTCTGTCTCGAGTACACGCGAGATGACAGACCCACATCCACACAGCTATTTGAAGTGCACACAACACACATACAGGCGATCACACTCCATCTCCTTCAAAGATAGAGAGACGGACATCTACGGCAAAGACACCCAACGAACGCTCATGTCTCACAGACCATCTGTAGGTCATTTCAGGCGGCGGTCTGCTCGATACACCACACACATCCGGAACTAGCTTCGCTCTACTCACACCCACACCAACACCATAAACAGTCGTGCGCCCCGCTCTTACATCTCCCCAGGACCTCACAGAGCTGCAAGATAGGTCACAGAGCATGCGTGAGATGCAACACAAAGTTCAGTGGCGCATAGTCACGATTGTTCATGACATACATGCTAGGTGTACATGGCCACGACTGACAGTTGATTACGAAAGCTCTTACCTACAAGACGAAGCGCGGATATTGTACTATAGAAGTCTAGATGGTGTTATGTGTCTAGAGTGGTCAGTCTCAGATGTGCTGTGGTTCTCGCTGACCATGTGATGATCCAGCACGAGACACGAGACTCTCGCTGAAGTGTGTAGTCAGTCTCAACATTACGCAGACTTCCGGACACGCTCTGCCATCACCTCAGTAAGACGAACTGGTCAACAGGTCCTAAATGTTTTCTATATAACACTCTCATGAGAGACTGGCGGTCATGATATAGATGGCGCAGACAATAATCGGCGCTCTCTTTGGGCTTCTAACAAGAAGAGAGACACGAACTACATATACTGCGTACACAACACGACGTCTGACTCTGAAAAATCGTCTGGCGTTGTATGTGCCATACTGACCTATATACACATGCATGGTTTTCAGCTGCAATACAATACTCGCGCTGACTGGCTGGACTGACTGACGCAGCTGCTCGTATAAGAGTAGCGCTGCGTAATAGAAAGTGACGCTCTACTCATCAATATAAATACAGACAACCCCTTGACTTAACACTTACACAATGCTATGTTCTGATCGGTGCTATTGTTGACGCCGCCTGTCGCTCCGATTGTAAGCACTCTGGTGCGTGACGGCAGTGACCTAGCTGATTCGCAGAATATGCGACTTGTCAGTGATGAGCTGTACCTACTTGACATACTCTGTCTAGAACACTATAATTAAGTGTGTACCCAGCTTGCAGAGACTGCTGCGTGGCACTTTCAGTCTCTGTCTAATCATACTGTGGCCAAGCCAGAAGAGGTATTCTACTTTCCCAATACGCACGTGTGCTCTCTCCTCTCCACTAACACTGATGCATATATTGCATCAGGTCTCCTCTAGAGACAAGCTCAATTCATTTCGTACACACACAGGAATGCGGGTACATCAAGTCCAGCAAATACTTTTCCATAAGAGTTGTGCTACGCAGACCAATCTCTCAACCACCGCATCTGAGATCTGGTATATGTAGCATACTGTTCACTTAAAGCCTGGCACCTACACTCGGATCCAGTAAATTACATGCTTCACAATCCACTTGCTGTGTGTCAGAGTCTGTTAGGTGAGGTACTGGCTTATCTCCGCTGGACTCAAGGCATTATTCCAAGACATAGATGTGTCTCCTCCAGCGTAGTGTCCGTCTGCTGATGGGTGCAGGAGCGCTGTGCACTCCACCAGCTCTACGTCTGGTCGGGCGTAGCATACAACGTCGTGACACACAACTCGCAACTGTACACTGGAGGCTCTAGAGCACTATCCAAGGGCCACAGCATATACTATTTCGAGCTCCTCCGTACGGTGCACGCAAGGCACGACATACAGACCGTACATCAGCAGGTAACATCTGGCCAGAAAAGATTCGCCTGCCTTCGATACATCGGACGAGCCAGAGATGACCACCAGCTTCCAGACTCCTCTTTCATGGACTGCGAATTTACATTGGTGCCGCCGTTGCGCACGCAGGTACATGCCAGCCACCCTGCAACTGCTCAGATAAACAACATGACAACTCAATTGACTCCAGAACCAGAGATCTAGAAAAACCACGCTGACTGCGAATCACATGTCAAGTTGTTATCATATGAATCAGAACATATGACATTCGCATCGTACTGTTATGTCTAACACAATTTCTGTATGACTGAATGTATTCAGGTTAACATCTTACTACAATGTCCAGAACACGTGAGGTTTATCTTGGTTTATTGGCTGGAGACGTTCTTGTTCTGGTAGATCGAACAATTGTCTCTCAAATCTGTACTCAGTAGATGGAGTCAATATGTTGTTGACGAAATTAGATTCCTGACATGTGCTGATGATTGTTACATCTCATACATAGTGTGGGTTCTATAGGACACTCGTATATAGCTCGGACGAGTTCTATGTCTCGGGCAAAAGTGAGTGACGCATGATATGGATATATAGCATGCCGCAGATATGGCGACGCGTACTCTAAATACTGACACATTTGACGAACCTTGTACCATATCAAACTCTCTCGCAACAAAAGATCAGTCACTGTGGTGTATAAGACATCAGCGCATAATGCATCCACTCAGATCTAAGCTTGTCTGCGCTAGATGTATCTGCCATCTCTACAGCTGTTCGTGTTGTGTTGTTGTACATTTCTCTGACCCCTCAGATATGTCTCTCACTCTGTGTGTCGCTGGCCATGTGTTCTTGTATATCTTGTGTTGATCTATCAGATACTTCATTTGTATACACAAATTCTCTATCTTGTTTACAGTTGTATAATCTCTGTATGTGGTATGCTCTCTCCCTTCTTCGAATACATGTACTAAGCGTAATGATCAGGTGACTTACCCTACTTCTGAATATCTATAATATCAGTAAGAAAATTCCCCCAGTAATGCATGTGATCCTTCTATCTCCGCTATATAGTATAAAATGTTACATTTGATATTGTTTTTTTCTCTGTGTTAGTCTGTCATGAAGCGAACATAGATAGACTGGAGATTGACAGTTGCAGCGTTTTCCTCAAGACGGTTAATTTAGCCCAAGCATCGCTCTTGTGTATGATGCTTCTCATGATGATAGACTGAACTAACAACTGTACTGACAGAATTATGTGTAAAGAAGCCCGGGATATAAAGGACAATCACCAAGGGCAGCACGGTAAATGATTAGGGTGCATCAAAATGCAATGCAAAAGATTTATCTCAAAATATCAAACTGTTAGGTGTTGCATTTTGTTCCAATGTCTATACAAATGATTTGTGCAAAGTTTGAGGAAATTTCATTCAGATTTAGAGGCGCAACGCAGCATGTCAAATTTTGCCATTTTGCCAAAAAGTGCCATTTTCGGTGCTTTTAGAACTCCCATTTATGGATAACATAACATGGCAATTTCTCAAAAATACAACAAATAGTTATCGAGAAGATGTTTTTGAAAGGACCTAAATGTGTTTATTTAAGAAGAAACGTTGACATTTGTATTGAACATCACTGCAAAATGGTTGAAAATGTAGTCCTAGTCAATTCAATTCAATTCAATTCAATGTCATTAGTGTAGTCCTTCACTGTGTTCAGCTTGCGCTTGCAGCGGCGAAGATTGGGCTGTTCACAGCGGTCATGCTCAACTGCTTGAAGCACATTCTGCAGATGTTGGCTCACTCTTGGCTGCTGCCACAAAGTCTGATGTGAGTTTGACTCCACGCTCGGCCACAGTCATTCACGACGTTGATTGCACGCACATTCACCACACCTGCCTGGAATGATGCACTGGTAGCCCAATCCTCTACAGTGAGTGAGGAGAAATGCTGGATCGATGTGCAGCTGGTGCATTCCAAACAGCAGTCTGGGTTGGCGAGGTCGGCCAACCTGGTGGTCGGCGAGAGGACTGGAAACTTTGGCTTGCCGAAACCAGTGCCAAAGCGCTGCTGTGGGGCTCGCATGGGAAAATCATCTGGCTTGTGCTCCAAGATGGCATCCGCAAGTGCACGCCGCTCATCAGCTGGCACCTTGTTGCTGAAGAGTGCCAGGGGCAGCATCTCACCGGTCAGGTTACCAGGAGGTGCTCTCCAGTGCTTTCATGGCCGAGGTTGCAATGCCCTCGTCAACAGACTTGTAAGTGTACAGTTGTGGTAGAGTTTGAGGTCATTCCATGCGGCATCTACGGCTGTGTCACAGGTCAGCCACCATGTTGCGTAGATGTGCGTAATGAAGTTGGCAAACGCCCGGAATCTTCGGCACCTGCTGCCGTGTGGTGATGGTGCCCTGGGGAAGCAAGGCGATATGCTGCTCCATCAAAGCCAGCTTGAGAGTGTAGAGGAGCTTGGCCATCCAGCGTGCCTTGTGCAGAGCTCCCGCCGTTGGAAGTTAACTGGAGTCTGTGCTGCATCATCTGCACCCAGATAGACAAGGCACAGCTGCACAAACTCATGGTAGTCGCCTCGCTTGTAGTCTATCACTGCTGCAGCAGACACCAGTGAGTTCAGCACGTAACTTGCCCAGGAACGGTTGTTCGGCGTTGGGCAGTAATGTAGCGGACAATGGGCCACTGTATTTGTGCGGCAACAAGTTCCAGTTGTCCTGCAGACGCTTAAACAAGGTAACCTCTGGGTGAGCGTGATGCCTCCCACCTTGAGGTTAGTGAAGATGTGGCTGAGGAGCACCTCACCAATGTGATGCCGGCACCCGACCAAAGCAGTGGTCTATCAAGTGAGACCTGGATGGCAATGCAGGCTGCTGTGAGATGACCTGTGTTTGATGCAGTGGTGTCAAATGCCATGTTGACAACCTGGTCGGCACAGCACCAGTCCTGCAGTAGCTTGCATGTTCAGGCGGGCGATGATCTCGCCGCACGCCCCGTCTTTCCCCTTTGTATATGCTGGCACACCAAGCAGTTTGAGCTGCTCCGCATCTCCAACCACCACTGTCAAACGCTCCTCCAACTGGGCGCACATTGCTGAGCGTCGGTGTCAACTTGCTGGTCCCAGTGCAGGGTGCACATGGGAGATGGTGTCCACTGCTTCTGGTGTTCTTTATTGACAACCTCAGCAACTTGGCGGCGTTATCGATCTGCTGTCGCGTAGTAGGATGCTGAAATTAATTTTGCACAATGCCGCCCGACTCTGTGATCAAGCCCGCGCGTGAAGGCAGCCTGCTGCATCGGTGTGATCTTCAACCGTGTAGCCAGTGACACGAGACTTGGCCGGCTGAGGATGTCGGGTGGAATGAAGGCTGTGGTGCCAGTCTTCTTATGCTTGCAAGGGGGTGTGTTCTCAGCCGGTAGAGTGGCTATTTCATCTGTAACGCTATCCTCATCACTTTCGCTCTCCAACATCGCCATTCTGGACTTCACTTTCATTTCCTGCTGCTCACTGGTAAAGTGTGACTGCCGGGCAGCTGCCCCAGCTTCACGCTTCTGTCGCCGCTTTACCTTGGATTGCAACTTGGCGTCGAATGCGCCAAATGTGGCCACTCTGTCTCCCTTCATGCTTAGCCAGGAAAGCAATGTCCTCTGGATTGCGGATCTTCTCCTCTGCGTTTGAGACCACAGTGGGAATGTTGAATCTAGCCTGCGCTCCATTGCATCCACCTGTCGAGCTGTAGCCTTACTGGAGCGCCTGGCCTGTGGAATGCGCCGCAGCTTGTTGTTGACGTCAACTAGGCTCCCCACATCTTGTTGCACGCACCCGATCGCTCACCATTGGGATATTGGCCTTGGCGTAAAATGGCCGCCACCTGCTCCAGGACTACTTTGGCTGCCATGAAGCGTGACAAGGCTCCATTCATACCCGGGTCGCTTGTCATGTAGTTGCACATCACAGTTGTACAGCATGCACCGCAAGATCTGACGACCACTTGGCAGTTTGGCCCCAGTAATCATGCCATCCGCATTGGTGGATGCTGGCACCCAGACCGAAGACCAGGCTACGGCTCCTCTGGCGTGAGCCTACGGGCGAGGGCAGCATCTTATGAGAGCCGGGATACTGGGGCAGGTAGTGGTCTAGATTGCCTGAAAATATAAAGTGGTTTAACACAAAATAATGTATTAGTCTTTTTGTTTTCTACAGTCAAATGATGAATAAGGATAGTGTTACAAATATACCTAGTAAATAAAATTAAAAATAAATACCTTAGCATCCATTCAGAGGGGAAACTTGCCAAAAATAGCAGATCTGCAAGCCCACTACATGCTCACTTATAATAAGACATAAAACATGCACACAGGCGAACCTTAGACAAAATAACTAATGTTAGCAGGAGATGACTAGCAAACAGAGCTAACTGCCCCCCCCTGTAGCTAGCTTGCATGTAATTAACACAAAATTACATTAAAACTGATAGACATTTTTTATTTACTCCATTAAATATACCAAAGTACAACTCATATGGCCAATGATCCTTAATAAAAGTTACACCACACAAAGAATAAAGAGTAGATTACCTCAATGTCTTCGATCAAAGGTGGAGTCTTTTTGCCTCACAGAATTGTGGTTCATTAGCATTTAGCATTGTCCTCGATTGTCCTCAGGTTAGCATGGCTACCAAATAAACATTATGTTGAAGTTGGAATGGAAGTTGTAGCTAAGAGTGCATTATGCACAATGTGTTGGTAATGACAGTAATATTAAAGTAGATAAAAATAAAAACAAAAGGTAAACACATTGCATATTATATGCTGGTTACCCCTTTTGCCATAAAAGATGATGGCCGTTTGGCACCTAAACACCCAAGTAAAA